AAATATCAATTGACCATAAATGTGCTACTATACGGCGTACCCACAGACCTACGTCCATCAACAACCAACAGCAATAGCATCCTACGACGGAGGCCATCACGCCCCTCACTTGATTTAATTACTGAGGCTTAGTACTTTGGTCTGCAGACATAAACATTGATTTAGAAGCCACCCTACTAATAACTCGAGTCTCGCCCCTGGTATGTTTTTGTTATTACGCAAACCAGCATTGGTGGAAAATGATGCTTGAAACTCAGTACTCTTACAGTGAGGTAGCTATGTTTGACGTGCCGGTTTCTACTGCTGGAACTTGGCCTGTGGCGGGTGTAACTACTAGCTGCAGTGCGTTGGTAGACAAGCATTTCATACCTTGAAGTAGTGTTCGCTAAGTTTAAAAGGTTCGAGCCTACAATCTTTCCACGTTTTCTGGCTACCTAGTCACTAATGGAGTAGTTACTGAAGCCTCGAAGGTAGGTGTGAGAGGACAGCTGGGCCAGAGCTCTCAGATTGGTATGATCGATTGGTATGTGAAGTTAAGAGTTCAGTGTAGGTAAGTTGCATCGTTATGCGGAAAAGGATGAAGGTTGCCTAGGATCGGGTTCAGGGGCACTTTAGTTGGTTTTTTTCATGCACCGCCGTGAACCTAGAGCTAAATTTTTGCAACTGTCCGGGAGACAGGATCTCCCCCCCCCCCTCTCCCATGCATAATGAGATTGTTTTCGTTTCTCTGCCTTTATAGATCTGTACAAAAGTGTTTTAGCAGTTAAAGGGAATGTTTCACATTTAAATAATGAAGCAAACATCAGATACAATGAGACGACATCACTTGTAATTATTGGTATCCTTTTAAATGGAAGACTGCTCTTGACACAACAATTATCTGTTTAGCAAATATGCTCCTCAATATGTGGTGGCTTGATTACGCCATCGTACATTGCACAACATTGATTGAGAATCAATTGTCGGCCGTTGTATCTGGAAATTGCGCTCATGAACGCCATATTGAACGCCAAGACAACTAAATCTGTCGTGGTCTTGATCGCCGCAGGGCTTATGGAATGGCAGGATTTGAATGACGTTATAATGAAGTCATGGATGCTAAGGTGACTTACGAATACTCTCCCCCGATATACGTTTCCCCATTTTCGCGGGCGTGTAGCTCAGAAATAAATGGAGCAAGGACAGGTTTGTGGACAGCGCCGAAAGTCCTTCAAGATAGTTATTTCAGTTCAAAACCCATATAAATGTTGAGCACCTCCCTTTAATCAGTAGCTATACAATTGGTGCACGCTTGTGTCGTCATTTTCACTCGTGCATCGTCCGAAATGGTCTTATCGGGCAGCTCCATAACCGGAACGCATAATGTGGTCGTTGGGTTTCAAACACTGATGTGTGAATTTAACGCTATTTTTTCGGTGTCTGCTCCCGCCGATTTTGTTACGTGTGCAGTACCATCGGTTGTTCTTTTTTTATAGTTCCATTCTCTAAAGCCCACGTGTTCATCAGCTGAAATCAACGCTTCATTTGCTGGGTTCCGAAATATTATCGATATACCATACCTGGAACGCTTGTGCATGCTAGGTTTGGTTTTATCGTGTAACCCAGTGCCGCTCTTTGCCGATTAGACTCTGACATAGCCGTTGCCGATCTAGTGGTATTAAATATCTATAGGTGGGCAAGAGGGCCTGGCAATGTTTGCACTAGTTTGCGCCGTCTGCATAAATTCAGAGTATTTCCTGTCACCATCTAACTTCGTTTTTAAACCGTATTGTTTTGGCCCCCCGACGTCCTTACTCATTTGCGACTGTGAGATGAGGTTGAAATAAGGTCAGATATTGACACTGCAAGTGATATTTACTTGATAACACAGTTGAGCCAGCGCCTCCTGATAAATTGACTGGTCGAAGGCCATCATAAAACTCTAACCTCATGATGGTTGTGGCTAGGCGGCCTTTGGGTCGGCTGCAAGCCGAAACGGCACCGACAGCCAGTTGGCTAGTCGATTTTGTGACCAGCTGGTGGCTTGTGACCAGTGGAGGTTCTATAATGGACTATAATGTTGGGTCTGCAGTGGAAAATAGATTGGACGTACTTTAGAATGAAATGAAATCACTTTAAATGTCTCACATAATCCCAAGAACAATGCAAATTTCTCAAGATCAAGTCCAATTTTCCAAGGTCTGTAAGGTTTTAAGGAATTTGACAATGGTTTGCCTGACAATGCTAGTTATTGCTTAAGCAGCATTCCGCTGCCTTGTAACCTGATAAATCTTGGACAAGTGGTAGCGTAAAATTATGGCAATCATGACTTCTCTGAAGGACGAGAAATAGTAATTATGTACTGTATTTGGAGCTTACTTGAATCGTAGCTTATTTCAACTGCCATCTGCCTCTGCGGGCTAGCCTACCGATCGGCGGTTAGTCGACAAGCGCTGGCCAGCCGGCTAGCTGAAAACCAGATGACAAATGGAGCATGACATCAGCTAGACCCCACGTGAAACTGAGCCTTATCTACAGGAACTCCGCCGCACTGCGTCCGCTGCAATGTGAGTGGCCGGGCAGGCGGAGGCCGGGCCGTAACTGAAGTGGTGGGGGGGGGGGGGGGGGGGGGGGGTGACATGACCGGACGGTGCACGGGCCGACCGCGGTAAATCCCCGATCTAGCGACGGGTGCAAGGATGCCGGGTACTGCGCACGACGACACGACACGACACGATCGATAGGCATTCAGCGGTGGCGCAGTACTGACAAACATGTGCTCATGAAGTTAAGGGATTGTTCCTCGTTTACATGGGGTTTTGAACTGAAATAGCCATCTTGTAGACCTTTTGGTGCAGTTCACAGCCCTGTCCTTCCTAAGACCTAAGCCCATCTAGTTTCTGAGCTACACGCCCGCGAAAATTGGCGAGAGTATCTCGGGGAGAGTATCTTAAGGTCACCTTTCCATTCGTGACACCATACAAATGTCATTCAGATCTTGCCATTCTATAATCCATGCCGCGATCAAGGTCGAGAAAAATGTGATGGTCGAGCCGTTCATATCTGGTGTTCGTGAGCAAGATTTCAGATGTGACGACCGTCCATTGGCTCTGCATCAATGTTTTGCAAGGTACGGTAACGTAATCAGACAGTGACGCATCGAGGAGTACATTACTAAACAGAGAAAACTGTGATGTCTAGAGCAGCCTTTTCTGCTTAGAAGTATATCCAATAGTTATAAGTGAGCTTGTTTCATGATATCTGATAGCTTTTTTCATAATATATAGCTTGTTCAGCATCAGCTTGCTTTATGAAATCTTTAGCTGCCTTCAAATGTGGCAGTTCTTTTTACAGTTATATTTCTTCATCGCCCTTTTACTCCCAGGCACCGCAATTTTTCATTTTTTAAAATAAATTGTTTCGTTTCTATGGCGCACATTCGCAGCTTTCGCTTGCCTTTCCAGCTCGGCCTGCCCGTAAAGGAATGGCGGTATAACTGGCCTTAGCCGGATCGAACTGGCTGAGCCCCGGATAATCCAGTGAGATTTGCTTAGACTAACGACGGGCGCAGCTGCGCAGAGACCGGCCGAACCCTTGACATAAACAGTCGCCTGTAACCTTGCTCGTGATTGGCTGACGGGAGTCCGGCCCTCAGTCGCTTCCCTCGCCTTAAATAAGCCCGCCGGCCGGCCAACGCCAACAGACGGCAGGCATACTCCCGGTGTAGTGCATCACAGGCCACCTCTTCAAGCTTCAGCATGGTGCTCGAGCTGGACCAGTACTCGGACGGCAAGGCGGCTCGCCTCTGGGGCCTCTACATCGGCGACCAGACCTGAGCGCACCAAGCATTACAAGGACTTCCTGAAGCGAGAGCTGACCACCCACGACTGTCACAGCGTGCTGGACGTGGCCTGCGGCACCGGGTCAGTACCAGGCTCAGACACAGGGGCCCGGGTCAGAACCGGGGTCTTAGCCCAAACTGAACCCACGGAATTGGAAGGATGTGAGGAGAATCGCCTGTGAAAACGTCTTGTAATATTGATTTATAACGTCTTGACCCACTCGCATGCGACATTGGAAGTCCTGCGAACTGAAATCTTAGGAATTAAGATGATATATCATGCAGTCATAACATTGGATGGAATGACTAAAGAGGCCGCTTATCTCATTCCTGGTGTGTATGGTACTTCTGGTGATGTCAGTAAAATAACGTTGCCATTGGCCGTTATTGGTCGTCATCTTTTGACCTGTTTCAGGCAGACCACAGGGGATTCAGAACCCCAGTTGGGTACTCGTAAATTGCATCATAAACGAACCATTTCACTTCCCAGTGGATTCCACCGCAGCACTGCTATTCTTCGCATTGACAGTCGCCTTACCCACAGCGTGGACTCGGTGATGCTGATCGAAGAGGGCTACCAGATGACATCGTGCGACTTCTCGGACAAGATGCTGAAGACCGCCTGGCAGACGCGCTGGAACCGCCGCAAGGAGGCCGCCTTCGACAGCTGGGGTGAGTGCTCCTCCGGGGCTCACGGGGCTTGCCAACGACGGCCGTACCGATGTCTCGGGCTGAACGATGTCGACTGGTACTTGGACTTTTGAAGGCTACCTTTTGATTGGTTTGCTAGCTGGTATTAATGACGTCATGGATCATGCTAAAACTGATGGGCAGATCAGCGGCAAGACACGCATGTGTTCAAACTTTCGTGGCACGACCTTATGTCCGGGACTTAATAGCTCCACCGCCAGCCCGCAAGCTTGTCCGAACTGTGCGCGAGTGCGCCGTGAGGCAGTACGATGACATGGGTGACATGACACGGCAGAGATCTTCGAGGCCAACTGGCTGACCCTGCCGCGTGACCTGGACACGGGACGGCAGTACGACGCCGTCATCTGCCTCGGAAACTCGTTCGCACATCTGCCGGACCTCACGGGCAACCAGGACAGTCACCGGTCAGTTACTGAACAAACACGGTCACATGTTGAACAGTCACCGGTCAGTTACTGAACAAACACTGGTCACATGTTGAACAGCCACTGCTCGGTGGCCGAACACCACGTCAACTGCCTCTTGCGGCGTGGCTTTGCAAAGCGTGATATCGAAATTGACCGCACCGTTAAGAGCCATGAAGTCCGAGCGAAAACGTGAAATAATTATTTTTGGGACGATGTATGCCAGAATAGCACCTCATTCAGAGCACGTGGTTGGCGACTCGCGATGTAAATGTGCGTCTAGGTGGCCTGTCTTGCTTCGCGCTTCGCCTCACTGTTAATAGCCGTTGTGTTTTCCGACTCCTTCGTCCCTCTCGCTAGAGTGAAGATCCATCCTCAGACGCTATGTAGCCCACGGGAGTTCATCGCGACATTCGTTTTTCTCGTTTCTCAGGATCGCTCTGCGGAACTTTGCCAGCCTTGTGAAGCCCGGTGGAATTCTTCTGATCGACCACAGGAACTACGACTTTATTTTGGACAACGGACGTGCGCCTTCGCGGAACATCTACTACAACGTGAGGAAGCCCAGCAGGCATGCCTAACAATAGTGTCACGTAGCTCAGCATATATTACAACTGCGCGGCTCAACCAAAGCCAAGCTGTGCTTCAGGGGTCTACTGGTGTCTCACTATCTTGCCATTAAAACGATGCTGCAAAGGATGCTGCTTGCACCAAACGGATGTTTCGGAGAACATGCAGCTTCGGTGTCCGGTGCCCGTGCTGATATCAAAGCTCACTCGGCTGAGCAGCCTGGCCCCAGGACGTGTCATGCAGCTTCGGTGTCGGGTGGTCGTACTGACATCAAAGCTCACTCGGCTGGGCAGCCTGACTCAAGAGCATGTCGTTCACTGCACGCGTGCGTCTGCGTACGGTATAAATGCTTGTATATGCTGCATCATTATCATGTGCGTCCCCAACGCTGCAACGCCAAATTAAGCTGATTCAAAACCAACCGTTTACTTCATTATCTTCCTTCACTTACTTGTGCATAGCGGTTAGGCTTTTTCATGTAAACAATCCCAGAGATATCACGTGACGTAGCTCGCCATACGCCCCGTATCTGGCCGTGACGTCACCTCCGGAATGTCGGGTCATAGCAAACCCGCCCCATACCATGACGTTACGCCCTCATGTGTTTATGTCCTGTGCTCCAGAGCAAGTTCGTCTCGGATATCAAGACGTCCGTGATCTATCAGAACGGCACTCCCACCAAGATCGTGCTGGACTACGTCATGGGAAACCCAGACGAGACGACCACTGACGTACTGGACAACAAGGCGCGCAAGACTTCAATATCGGATGACCCGCGCGACAAGTGAGTTTGAGCTGGTCCCCTTGGGAGCCGGGCAATCATAGGTCGGAACAGTTCCATCGCTGAGTAAAAGAAAGACGCAGGAATGTTAATAGTGTGTTTTGGTGGACTGTTGCGGTGTGTTACGTCGTTAGGACATTGACAACGCGTAAGGAGCAAAAGGATATTTCCTGTTGAGCATTTTCAAATTATTTGCAAGGCCTATCCAAGCACCCAATCGCCGGATGAAGGATGAAGGCAGAGCCAGCACGCTGACGTACGCTCCCGTCCGCAGTGAGTTCACGCTGAGCTACTACCCGCACCGTATGGCCGACTTCCGCGGCCTGCTCGACGAGGCGTTCCAAGGGCAGGCAAGTATAGAGACCCTGGGCGATTTCAAGCCTCTGGGCGAGATCAACGACCCGGCCTTCTTCATCCACGTGGTGCGCAAGGTGTGTGAAGACGATCACACCTGGCACCAGAGCGCCTCGAGCTCAGGCGAGGAGTCCGTCTGAGAGCCGCCGTGGCCTCCGGCAACAGATGACCTGGCCGAGATGGCGTCTCGGATCGGACGCCAGCCCTCACGCCGGCCCAGACACCTTGACCTTAACTCCGCGCCACACGGCACGAGTTAAGGTCCTGCCCGCGGGCAGCGGGTGTCACGGCCTCCTGGGAAACCTTGGTCTTAACCCCGCCGGCCCCGCCGCGCGCCGGTTAAGGCCCTGTCGCCAGCGACACGGGTCTCCCATCCATCGCGACGCGCCGAGCCGGCGCCGTTGCACGCCTTCACGGGCCACCTGCGCGCTCCTCGTCACCGCGACTGAGCTGGGCAGCAGGCAGATGCACCTTGACTTCCACCCCTCGCCGCTGCGCGCCGGCCGCCGCGCGGTCGGCCGCGCGCGACCGGGTTCAAGTCCCCTCGGGTGCAACATGGTCACCATCGGCCACGCCTTGATTTCACCCCCGGCCGCCCGGCGCGGCCCCCACGCCGGCGGATGGGATGAAGTCCTTTCGGGCGGGCCATTCGCATACAGTAGAACTAGACATCCGAAGTTAACAGAGTCGCTACGAGGAAGGACTCTGCTCTTCGTTCACGGCATTTGCTCCTTTGTGTGCATGTGTCGTACGGATGTGTACGCTTTTCAATGTTTTGTTTTTGTGTGTATCATTGCGAACGTTACAAATTTGCTTGTGAATGTGAAGCAAGATTATCGAAAAATACATCATTCATCTTACGTACACGTTTCATTCGGTTGACTCTGAAGCAGGGACGGACGCTCCAGTGAAACGGAGCCACATCGTGCCACATGTCAAAGGCTTAAGCCATGGCGAAGTGCCAGGTCATTGCGCCAATGAACGACGGCTGCTGCATTAAAGCATCGCTGCGTCACAGAATCACTGTCTTTTTTCGATCAACTTATTTCGCGAGGCACGTAATATGGTTGGTCCTCTTGACTTTTTGCTCCCTGACAAAGCTGGATGTTCCAGGATTTGACCGCATATCATCGGGCCTGTCCTTTGTGGAACGGAAAGCTCTGTCTGTCTCAGCTTAGGTCCACGGAAGGTCAGGAACTGAGAACACGTAAAGTCCGCCTCCAGCGCAGGTTCAAGCAACATCAGGGGCCGCAGGGGCCGCCGATCAGATGCATGTTTGCGGCATGTACACGCTGGTTTCGGTTCACGGTTACATACCTACGGCAACGCTGTACAATGCTCAGCGCATGATCTGTCGGCGCAATGGAACAATAGCATTCTCAACTGTCGTTACCGTTCACTTTGAACTGAGACTTGAAACCAAATGCAGTGTCATGAGAGCTATGCCGAAGATTGCCGCCCCATGGAGAAAAGGCTCATGTCACATTTCTCATTTTGAATACGTTCTCAAATGTATGTCACTTTGGCCGAAGTCGTAATAAATTTCAGCTTGAAATTAATATCATTTTAAACCAGCCTCAAACTGAAGCACGCATCAACCTCCAAATATGCATCATGAAGAGTCCTCTTGATTCTGAATTATGTATATATGTATTTTGCATAATGTATTATTATGTATATATTATTATGCATATATTATTATTATATATCGCTGCCGCACGCTCGCGCGAGGGCGAGCGTGCGGCAGCGAGCGCAGATTCACACGCCAAGTCATCTGTCGGTCAAACACGTACCAGAGGGCGGTGGTGTGATGTCTCTTGCTATTGGAGCTGTGTAGAGCAGACCGCCGGACACATCGGCCGTTCCCCACGAAAGGACTCGTCTCACTGTGAGCCTTCACGCGATGCTCGTTCTGCTACATTTTTATGTTCGTCACCGACTTCGCGCAAAACAAGGCTGATCTGCAAGCTGGCTTCAAATTCGAGTGTCATGGGAACCTGTCACTCGTGATCTGGCCTATACAGAACATATCTAATAGTCTTAATTCCTTTTTGCATGGCGGGCACAAATTCTACATTTTCACTGTGTTGTGTGTAGTGTGACTGCTTTATTTGCGTACGGCAACTAAAATAATGATGCTAACTTGCGTAGCATGAATCATGTCGCTCTGGGTGTCCGTGTTTCATTTCGCATCCGACATGGAAATCAATTGTTTTTGTTAGTATTTAGGTCGTTACCAGCCTGCGGACTATCTCTTCAATGCAAATATTTGTGCTGCAAACGTGTCTTCGGCAGTGACCGCAAACTACAACATTCCATCCCATCAGAGAAGTAATCATCCAATGACATCAGCCAGACGGGAGCTGTCCGTAATCAGACCGATGAGACCTGCTGTGACCTTGCCATTAGCATGCCGTAATGAATGAAGGCAGATTTCCCACGTTTGGTCCTCGCATTGCTTGTAAAGGATGAATAATGGAGTTTCGCTACCTTGGAAGTCCAAAGATGGGCAGCGGGTATGGAGTGAGAAGCCTATTTCGCGCCAGTACGACCGTGAGTTTCTGTGTACGTCGAGAAAGATACAACCCAAGAGGTATCCAGACTGTCTAATGCGATATAGCACGCACATAGCTACGCAAGTCGTGTGCGAAGGCATGGCCGACGCCTTCTTGGCCTCTTGTACCATACACAGACATCAGGAACCAGAAAAGGGTGAAACGATATATATGTTCTGTCGCTGGGACATAAAGAACACCTGCTATACACTTGGCCACCTGGCAAAATGAGTAGCATGTCATGCGACTTTGCGCTTCGCATGTATACACTGCACGCTAGTATATCCTTCGCCGCAAAGAGCTTTGAAGCGCATCAGGTCGTGTATGGAATCTAAAGACGGACAGGCTCATGCCAGGTGGCCGCCCCATCGTTATTTAAGCATGAGTTCCCACCCCCTCCCTACGTGACCGCGTTTGCTCGTGCCCGCCTGTGTTACTGGGTCAAGCCTGTTTGAGTTGGAGCGCACGGCGGCTTCTGTTGCGCGCCCACTGGCGCAACCCGCGCTGCAGTGCGTTTGATGACTCAGGCGCTGCGGTGGCAACCCGCGCTGCAGTGCGTCTGATGACTCAGGCGCTGTGGTGGCAACCCGCACTGCAGTGCGTCTGATGACTCAGGCGCTGTGGTGGCAACCCGCGCTGCAGTGCGTCTGGTGACTCAGGCGCTGTGGTGGCAACCCGCGCTGCGGTGCGTCTGATGACTCAGGCGCTGTGGTGGCAACCTGCGCTGCAGTGAGTCTGGTGACTCAGGCGCTGTGGTGGCAACCCGCGCTGCAGTGCGTCTGATGACTCAGGCGCTGTGGTGGCAACCCGCGCTGCAGTGCGTCTGATGACTCAGGCGCTGTGGTGGCAACCCGCGCTGCAGTGCGTCTGATGACTCAGGCGCTGTGGTGGCAACCTGCGCTGCAGTGAGTCTGGTGACTCAGGTGCTGTGGTGGCAACCCGCGCTGCAGTGCGTCTGATGACTCAGGCGCTGTGGTGGCAACCTGCGCTGCAGTGAGTCTGGTGACTCAGGTGCTGTGGTGGCAACCCGCGCTGCAGTGCGTCTGATGACTCAGGCGCTGTGGTGGCAACCCGCGCTGCAGTGCGCCTGGTGACTCAGGCGCTGTGGTGGCAACCCGCGCTGCAGTGCGTCTGGTGACTCAGGCGCTGCGGTGGCAACCCGCGCTGCAGTGAGTCTGGTGACTCAGGCGCTGTGGTGGCAACCCGCGCTGCAGTGCGCCTGATGACTCAGGCGCTGTGGTGGCAACCCGCGCTGCAGTGCGTCTGATGACTCAGGCGCTGTGGTGGCAACCTGCGCTGCAGTGAGTCTGGTGACTCAGGTGCTGTGGTGGCAACCCGCGCTGCAGTGCGTCTGATGACTCAGGCGCTGTGGTGGCAACCCGCGCTGCAGTGCGTCTGATGACTCAGGCGCTGTGGTGGCAACCCGCGCTGCAGTGCGTCTGATGACTCAGGCGCTGTGGTGGCAACCCGCGCTGCAGTGCGTCTGATGACTCAGGCGCTGTGGTGGCAACCCGCGCTGCAGTGGTCTGGTGACTCAGGCGCTGTGGTGGCAAACCCGCGCTGCAGTGCGCCTGGTGACTCAGGCGCTGTGGTGGCAACCCGCGCTGCAGTGCGTCTGGTGACTCAGGCGCTGCGGTGGCAACCCGCGCTGCAGTGAGTCTGGTGACTCAGGCGCTGTGGTGGCAACCCGCGCTGCAGTGAGTCTGGTGACTCAGGCGCTGCGGTGGCAACCCGCGTTGCAGTGCGTCTGATGACTCAGGCGTTGTGGTGGCAACCCGCGCTGTGGTGCGTCTGGTGACTCAGGTGCTGTGGTGGGAAGCGGAAACAGAGCTTCTAAAAAATGGGATATTGATACAATTTGTATGCATTCCAAAGCCTTCAGCAGGATCTCGTAGAGCTCATATGGCAGTGCTAATTGGATGTCACACCATAGTCAACGAATCGGTTATCAGAAGTCATGTATCGATAACAGACGTCTTCTCTGAAAAAGTAACGGGGCCAAACTGCGCATGGATTCCAAATCCATGCTTGGTCTCTGGCAATGACTGGTTGACGGGATTGGGCGGTCCATTCATTGCTCCAGGTCATTCAGCGTCGCAGCTGCTCGGGTCGGTGGAATCGGATGACACACCTCATACAACATTAAGTCTGTGTTAGAGGCCTTCATGAAGAGGCACCCCTGGCCCCTGCCCATGGGGTTGTGCTCATGCGTGCACCCGATACCCAGTCGTAATCCATTGTCCCCTTTTGTTGCGTACCCGCTTGCATTTGGGTAACACTGTAGTCTTAAATTATGGGATGGTTTCATGAACCTTTACACCCAAAGTTACTGTTTTGTCTTGATAGTGTCACAAGATATATACGTGAAGCCAAGTACAATTAAGACAAGCGCAAACCTGACAGCGTAGTGCAGTATTTCTTGCATCTTCCCAACATTTCTCAAGCATCTTATCCACTTACATTCCCGTCCTTATGTTCCCAGAATCTGCACCCAGCCCAGATCGTGAGCACTCCAGCATCCATGAGTGTATGCAATCCGCGTAATCCTTTGTCCCACCCCACATTCTCGCTACCGTACGTAACGCATTCTGCCAGTGGAGCGCGACGCCCCGGGCTATCATTGAAGCGTGGCGCACATAGAGTTGGGGCATTGCTTTTTCACGTAACAGAGCTGGACCGAACTGCCGACCGCCACGACTGCGCTCAACTAGGCGGAGCTCGAGCTGGTGCCGCCTGATGGAATGGAGTGCCTTCACCTCTGGTGTTCACCGTCGTAATCCAGTTTCTAATCGCAGATCCGTGAGACCTTGACCCGCAAGCTTGAAAACGATTACACCAATGTGCTTGCATTGCTCACCTTATGACCTATGACCTATGGCCCATGACCTCGGTTACTCAACGCACGACTGTTTGCAGCCGGAAGTGCCCAAGCCAGGCAGCGAACTCTGGTTATTTACCTCGGGCACGTGACGCTGACTGACGACCTCTCTAAAAAGCCTGAGTCATCAATGAGGATGCGGCTACCTGTTTTGTGGCATTGGCTTTTGATGGGCAATGCCACGGCATTGGGCGGCCCGTGGTTAAATTTCAGTACAAAGACAAACGCCTGCAATACAGGTCAGAGCATTTGTGCTGCTACACCAGAACAACACTTTCAAAGCATTACCCTGTTGCATACATTAGTTCATTACCGGGGCTTCGGCTGGCGTCCAAGCTGGTCTATAACACAGCATGATACTTTAGGGCATTGTTCTTCAATGTATCTTGAATTCGCGCATCAGTTTTGCGTTCAACTGATTTAGATG